TGTAGATTTTGTTCTGTTTTGTAGATGAGAGCGGGGAGACGTTGGGAGATGTGATGGGGGGGGGGGGGGTCAGTTCTCAGGTCAGGAGGTGGACATACCTCTTATAGCATTAGCGGAAAGTCTTAGGAGACACAGAATTTCTTCTTTAGAAAAATCCTATTTTTATCCCAGAGATCCATGGAGGACCGGAAACAATAGCGGTGAGATGAGAATTGTCGGGTTCTGTGTATGGGTCTCCTCCGGTCTGACAATCACATGCAGCGTACATGCGCGTTTCCTCCACCTCCTGTATCATCTGCTAGTCTGTTCTGTCTGTTCTGTGAACCTGCGGCTTCCGTTTTGCAGAAAATCTTCAGTGTTTGATAAATAATGTTTACGCAGCCAAGGAATCCGTTACAAATCCAACAAGTGTCAGCTTGAGTCCTTGTGCACACGGGGCGGTTTTACAGCGGCTGTTTTTGGCTTCTGGCATTTTTTTTTTCCTACAGCCAGTAAATTCCCCAGCAAGTTATTCTAGGTGTCCATGCACACATAGGCTTTAATCTGCATTTTTTTGGCTGAAAAAAAAAAAAAAAAAAATAAACCCAAAACTAGCGGGTTTCTAGAGGTGATTTTTTTAGCTGTCAAAATACTCTAATGCTGGTAAACGCAGCAAAGCTGAGTTTTTGAGCATTATTTTAGGCCAAAAATTATATCTATATATATATATATATAGAGAGAGAGAGAGAGAGATATACATACATACACACACACACACACACATATATATTTTTTGTTTAATTGTTAATTTTCTCAAATTTATATATATATATATATATATATATATATATATATATATTTTTATATATATATATATATATATATAAATATATAAAAATTTGAGAAAATTAACAATTAACAAAAAATATATATATATGTTTTGTGTGTGTGTGTGTATATATATATATATATATATATATATATATATATATATATATATATATATATTTTTTTTTATTTTTTTATTTTTTTTTTTTTTATATTTTTTTTTATTTTTTTTTATATATAAAAAATTATACATAAATACTTTATTTTAAAAAATAGCATGTCGTGTGTATTGTTATGTAAAATAAATAAATGCAATTTATTTATATTTTTTACATAATCTACTTAAAGTGTCATCTAATATGTAAAAACACAACTAAATGCGGCAAAATTTGTGTTTTTAACATAAATTTTTACTGCTGATGCTACCGGCGATTTCTTAAAACCGTGTGATGAGGCATAAAGTGTATTTCCATGTAGGGAAACTCACCGACTTTTTATATTTATTACTTTGTTACTTGTCTCCATTTACAGAGCATGATCTAAAGGGTTAGTGAGAAAAAAAATGTAAAAGTGAACCTCCCCCACCCCCTCTCCACCCCTCCCCCTGCTGTACTTACCTCCGGGGTTGCCGAGCTGTCAGCACCGCCACAGCCAGTCCAGTTCTTCTCCCTCTTCAGCGCTTCTAGGACAGATCAAAGAGAATTACTATGAGGACACTAGCCAATCAGAATTGATCTGGTTCATCTCAGAAGCGCTGCACAGAGAAGAGCTGGAAATTCAAATTGCTGGTCCGGTTATGGGGGTGTTGACAGCTCAACCATGGAGGTAAGTACAATGGGGACCAGGGGGGTGGGGATGGTGTCTGATGTTCCCCTTTTTACATTTTTTTCTGTAAAAGTGACGGCAGAAAAAGACCGAATGGTCCTTCTAGTCTGACAGTTTTAGTTGTTTGTTTTTGTTTTGTTTTTATTTTGTTGTATTTATTTATTGTTGGGGGGGGGGTGGTTGTTGTTTTTTTTTTGTTAATTTTTTTTGTGGGGTTTTTTATTTTTATTTTTTTTTTTCTTGTTTTTTTGTTTTATTTGTATTATTTATTTTTGTGTGGGGGTTTTTGTTTTGTTTTTTTTGTTTTTGTTTTTTCATTTGTTTTTTTGTTTTTGTTTTGTTTCTTTTTGTTAACGTTTTTGTCTGTTTATGGATCTATGCTTGTCCTCACCTGTAAAGGTGAACAAATACTTTTAAATATTTAAAAATAGCGTCTCAGCTTTTTTCGTGCACATTCTCATGATCTCTGCCCACCCAAGAACAATCTGCGTTGGGTTGCTTTTCGGAGGTCCTTGAGGAGGTGTTATGGTGCCTCCTCACTGCCTGATTTTACATTGTAGATGCCATGTGACTACATCTCAGTCACACGCATTGCACGCTGTCGTGGTGCAGCCCCATAGACCTGCATTGCTTGAAATTGGCAGTGGTAATGGCTGCTGAATGCCATATGGTGTTTCGTTTTTCCTGCAGCTCAACCGCCTGGTTTTACCGCCCACCTGTGAGCGTGGCCTTAGATATTCTTTTTCTGATAACTCGAGCACTGAAAAATTCTGCTTTCTGTACTGTGCTGGCAGATCTCATTATTAGGTGTAAACGAGATTTGAGCACTGTCTGCCCTAACAAAGGGTTAAAGATTTAACCGGGTCCCTTCTCCATTGTATGTTAATGAGAAGGAACTCTCCCTGTCTGCGGTTGCTTCACAGTGTTGCTTTGGAATTGTTTTATTTTATTTATTTATTTCAGGTACTTATATAGAATTGTGAAAATAAATAAAACACCTCATGAATGCCTTCAAACTGTTGTTCAGCCACCTCTGAAAAGCACCACTGCAGATCAACTTTCAGGGGAGGAAAACTCTGCCGCTGGTGTGAACGATTGAAAAAAATAAATAAATTGAATAAATAAAAATAAATAAAAAACTGACAGGGGTTCCAATCATTACACCTCATGAATGCCTTCAAACTGCTGTTCAACCACCTCTGAAAAGCACCACTGCAGATCAACTTTCAGGGGAGGAAAACTCTGCCGCCAGTGTGTGAACGATGGAAAAAAAGCAAAAAAAAATAAAAAATAAATAAATAAAAAACTGACAGGGGTTCTAATCATTACATTGGGCAGCACAGTGGCTAAATGGTTAGCACTTCCGCCTGGTAGTACTAGGGTCGTTGGTTCGAATCCCAACCACGGCACCATCTGCCTGGAGTTTGCATGTTCTGCCTGTGCCTGCGTGGGTTTCCTCCATGTACTCCGGTTTCCTCCCACACTCCAAAGACATGTTAGGAGGTTAATTGTCTCCTGTCTAAATTGTCCCTAATATGTGTATGTATGAATGTGAGTTAGGGACCTTAGATTGTACGCTCCTCGGGGGCGGGGACTGATGTGAATGTACAATATATATGTAAAGTGCTGCGTACATTGATGGCGCTATATAAGTACCTGAAATAAATAAATTACACCTCATGAATGCCTTCAAACTGCTGTTCAACCACCTCTGAAAAGCACCACTGCAGAATCAGCTTTCAGGGGAGGAAAACTCTGCCGCCAGTGTGAACAATTGAAAAATAAAAAAATAAATAAATAAAAAACTGACAGGGGTTCCAATCATTACACCCCATGAATGCCTTCAAACTGCTGTTCAACCACCTCTGAAAAGCACCATTGCAGAATCGGCTTTCAGGGGAGGAAAACTCTGCCGCCAGTGTGAACGATTGAAAAAAAAGCAAAAAAAAAAATTTTAAAATAAATAAAAATAAATAAATAATAAACTGACAGGGGATCTAATTATTTCTCAATGTATCCAAAATTAAATATTTTCTATGGACGTTCCCTTTAAATGTCCGAAGTCCTGATAAATATCTGACACAATCCCATGATCATCTCCACTGAACCCTCTCGTGTTTACTGGCCCTTTAATGAGCGTACCCCGGAGCCGGCACCGCGCTGACCAATGGCGAGAGTTCTTAAGGGGAACAAAAAAAATAAAATCTCTTCTGCTCTTAATTGGTTTGCTGCATTTTATTTAGTTTTTTTTTTAGCTTTGTAGAATCTTTTTGTCTCCTCAACACAAATCAAGGTCACGGCGATCTATTTTCCGCCTCTGCGTCCGTCGCGTGTCATACAAAGATGATGAGGATATAAGACCGTTCGTTATTTATTTAAACCCTTTTAATGAATTATTCACGTGTTACAGTCCCCTCTGTCAGTCGCGGAGAGGAGGATCATCCGTACCCGGGGGTTTCTTAAGCTTGCTGGCCGCGATTGATTGTCTTGAGTCCACCGGATAAAGTGGCCCCGATTCCCTTGTGGCCCCGTTTTTTTTCGGCAGTGAGTTAGACTCAGGAAGCTATAACGCATTAAATCGGGCCACTCTGGAGAAATGGGAATTGGAACTTGCTGGTCGTTGTTAATCTGGAGTTAACAAATCATTTCCTCTACCCTTCCGTAGATTCTGTTATATCAATTGTATTTATTTATTTAGTTGATCCACCATATTGGCCTAGGGCCGCCTTTCTCCACCTTGAAAAAAAGTTCCCAGAGATGTCCTTGAAATAATTTTCAAGTCTTGGGGAACCCCTGCTAAAACCATTTCATTGGGGGTCAGTGGGAAGAATGTCCCTTACATTGGGGGATCAGTGAGAAGAATGTCCCTTACATTGGGGGATCAGTGAGAAGAATGTCCCTTACATTGGGGGATCAGTGAGAAGAATGTCCCTTACATTGGGGGTCGGTGGGAAGAATGTCCCTTACATTGGTGGTCAGTGGGAAGAATGTCCCTTACATTGGGGGTCGGTGGGAAGAATGTCCCTTACATTGGTGGTCAGTGGGAAGAATGTCCCTTACATTGGGGGTCAGTGGGAAGAATGTCCCTTACATTGGGGGTCGGTGGGAAGAAGAATGTCCCTTACATTGGTGGTCAGTGGGAAGAATGTCCCTTACATTGGTGGTCAGTGGGAAGAATGAATGTCCCTTACATTGGGGGTCGGTGGGAAGAATGTCCCTTACATTGGTGGTCAGTGGGAAGAATGTCCCTTACATTGGGGTCAGTGGGAAGAATGTCCCTTACATTGGGGGATCAGTGAGAAGAATGTCCCTTACATTGGGGGATCAGTGAGAAGAATGTCCCTTACATTGGGGGATCAGTGAGAAGAATGTCCCTTACATTGGGGGTCGGTGGGAAGAATGTCCCTTACATTGGTGGTCAGTGGGAAGAATGTCCCTTACATTGGGGGTCAGTGGGAAGAATGTCCCTTACATTGGTGGTCAGTGGGAAGAATGTCCCTTACATTGGTGGTCAGTGGGAAGAATGTCCCTTACATTGGTGGTCAGTGGGAAGAATGTCCTCTTACATTGGTGGTCAGTGGGAAGAATGTCCCTTACATTGGGGGTCAGTGGAAGAATGTCCCTTACATTGGAGGTCAGTGGGAAGAATGTCCCTTACATTGGTGGTCAGTGGGAAGAATGTCCCTTACATTGGGGGTCAGTGGGAAGAATGTCCCTTACATTGGAGGTCAGTGGGAAGAATGTCCCTTACATTGGTGGTCAGTGGGAAGAATGTCCCTTACATTGGGGGTCAGTGGGAAGAATGTCCCTTACATTGGGGGACAGTGGGAAGAATGTCCCTTACATTGGGGATCAGTGGGAAGAATGTCCCTTACATTGGGGGTCAGTGGGAAGAATGTCCCTTACATTGGGGGTCAGTGGGAAGAATGTCCCTTACATTGGGGGTCAGTTGGAAGAATGTCCCTTACATTGGAGGTCAGTGGGAAGAATGTCCCTTACATTGGAGGTCAGTGGGAAGAATGTCCCTTACATTGGTGGTCAGTGGGAAGAATGTCCCTTACATTGGTGGTCAGTGGGAAGAATGTCCCTTACATTGGGGGTCAGTGGGAAGAATGTCCCTTACATTGGTGATCAGTGGGAAGAATGTCCCTTACATTGGTGGTCAGTGGGAAGAATGCCCCTTACATTGGAGGTCAGTGAGAAGAATGTCCCTTACATTGGTGATCAGTGGGAAGAATGTCCCTTACATTGGTGATCAGTGGGAAGAATGTCCCTTACATTGGTGATCAGTGGGAAGAATGTCCCTTACATTGGTGGTCAGTGGAAGAATGTCCCTTACATTGGGGGTCAGTGGGAAGAATGTCCCTTACATTGGTGATCAGTGGGAAGAATGTCCCTTACATTGGGAGGTCAGTGGGAAGAATGTCCCTTACATTGGTGGTCAGTGGGAAGAATATCCCTTACATTGGGAGGTCAGTGGGAAGAATGTCCCTTACATTGGGGGGTCAGTGGGAAGAATGTCCCTTACATTGGGGGGTCAGTGGGAAGAATGTCCCTTACATTGGTGATCAGTGGGAAGATTGTCCCTTACATTGGTGATCAGTGGGAAGAATGTCCCTTACATTGGTGATCAGTGGGAAGAATGTCCCTTACATTGGGGGTCAGTGGGAAGAATGTCCCTTACATTGGGATTCATTGGAAAGAATGTCCTTTACATTGGGGGATCAGTGGGAAGAATGTCCCTTACATTGGTGGTCGGTGGGAAGAATGTCCCTTACATTGGGGGTCAGTGGAAGAATGTCCCTTACATTGGTGGTCGGTGGGAAGAATGTCCCTTACATTGGGATTCATTGGAAAGAATGTCCTTTACATTGGGGGATCAGTGGGAAGAATGTCCCTTACATTGGTGGTCAGTGGGAAGAATGTCCCTTACATTGGGGGTCAGTGGGAAGAATGTCCCTTACATTGGTGATCAGTGGGAAGAATGTCCCTTACATTGGTGATCAGTGGGAAGAATGTCCCTTACATTGGGGGTCAGTGGGAAGAATGTCCCTTACATTGGTGATCAGTGGGAAGAATGTCCCTTACATTGGTGATCAGTGGGAAGAATGTCCCTTACATTGGGGGTCAGTGGGAAGAATGTCCCTTACATTGGGATTCATTGGAAAGAATGTCCTTTACATTGGGGGATCAGTGGGAAGAATGTCCCTTACATTGGGGGGTCAGTGGGAAGAATGTCCCTTACATTGGGGGGTCAGTGGGAAGAATGTCCCTTACATTGGGGGTCAGTGGGAAAAATGCCCCTTGCGTTGGTGGTCAGTAAAAAGAATGCACCTTCCATTGGTAGTCAGCGTGAAATTTCCCCCTTATATTGGTGGTCAGTTGAAAGTATGCCCCCCTTTACATGTAGCTAAGTCGACCATTGGTTTCCTGCATCTGGCTCCACAAAGTGGTATTTTGGCTTTGGAACTATTTAGGCGCCATTAAATGGTGATGACAATCAGCTACACCTCAAGAAAAGAAACCTCTGGAGAAACCTTGGGGTTCTACAGAACTCTGGTTGAGAATAGTTGGCCTAGAGTGTGGCCATACTGTGAATTAAAATGTTTTTTTCATGCCGTTTGTGGTTGGGAGGAATATCTGTTGCCCTTGGTGACCTCTTTAGATCTATAGAGCTGGTATGGGTCTCCTCCTGGGCAAACCAGCTCTCTGTAGGGTCCTATTTGGGCCTCATATTGAAAACTGGCTTAGTTCACTGCTGAACTATTCTGAAGCATTTTTGCCTAACGGCAGTCACATGCCTGCTGAAGGGGTTCTGCATGGATCCGAAACATTGCCATCTTGTGCAACTATGTAGCCACCATTAAATGGGACAACAATCAGCCCGGGGAACCCTAGGATTCCACTGAACCCTGGTTTAGAATAGCTGGCCTAGGGTGTTGCTATATTGTGAATCAAAATGCTTTTAAATGTGGCCATTTGTGGTTGGGTTGAGTATCTGTTGCCCTTGGTGACCTCTCTAGATATATAGAGCTGCGAGGATCTCGTCCTGGGCAAGCCAGTTCTCTGTAGGACCATATTTGAGGCTCATACTGAAAACTTGCTTAAAGTAATGCTAAACTATTCTTAAGCATTTGTGCCTGATGGTCACATGCCTAATGAAGGGGGTCCCTGTGTGGCTCTGAAACATCGCCATCTTCTGCTGTGATTGATCAATAAAGCTTTGGACCTTTCTTATGGAGTTCCCTGGTGTGCTGGTGACATATTTCTTGCCTTGAAGGCCTTCTGATCTCCAGCTGGTGGTCACTACAGCACCCACTCACTCTTCAGCCATTTTGTGTGTGCGTTGGGGATATTGTCTTGAACCTTTAAGCAAAACCTTGGAGCATTGGAAATTTTATGGATAGGCAATTCCTATCCTAATATTGATCATTGGTTCCAAACTAATAATTACTGTAGTAGGGAACAGACACCTAAAGATGTAGGGTGTAGTGTTCAACTCGGGTCCAAGGTATTTGGTCCTAAAGAACTGGCCTCCAGTGCAGCTCCAGGTGTCCACCAGAGAAGAAAAGTTGGAGGCAGGAGATCCCTTTATAGTGTAGTTATTTGGTTCAAAAAGGTTTTAACAATAGGAAAAGGAAAATGGGAGAATGGCTTACATGTTGAGATTGTGTTCACCTTAGATCACGGGTGTCAAACTGATTGCACTCCAGCTGTTGCCAAACTACAAGTCCCATGAGGCATTGCAAGATTGACAGTTACCAGCATGACTCTGAAAGGCAGAGGCATGATGGGACTTGTAGTTTTGCAACAGCTGGACAGCCGCCAGTTTGACACCCCTGCCTTAGATGGCGGGAACACACAACCTTCCAAGCATGCTGGTGGAGATAAGCATGTCTCCATGGAGGATGAGGTTGGTTTTTCTCATTGATGAGGTGGTCACTCTCGATCTCCTCGGGGTCCCAATCCTGGGTTCCCTGTGAGGTCTTCAGGCAGGTGTATGAAATAGGTGGGCTTGAAAGGAGTATGCAAAAAAGTCCATTGGTGGACCGATGGCAGGGGTGCTTTTCTAAGAATAGGTCTTTTATTTGGTGTAATAGACATTTTATGTTCATTAAACCAGGTAACTTTGACCTATTCTGATATATTAGAATGGACGCCTCTGCCAATTGGACTACCAATGGCCTTTATTGCAGACTCCTTTTGAACTCACTGATTTCACACACTCGCCTGAAGACCTTGCATAGGACCCAGGACTGGGACCCCTGTGACATCTGGATTGACCATCTTGTATTGACAAAGGCTTTTCTCCACCCTTGTACTTCGAAAGGTAGCTGTTCCCACCACCTGGACAGACCGCAACCTCAACATGTAAGGGTGAGGACCATTGATGGGTTTTTCTGCAGATTCCCCCTTAAACCTACAAATTTCATACACCCATCTTAAGACCTTGCATAGGACCCAGGACTGAGACCCCCATGGAATTGAGTGACCAACCTCATCCTGCATTGATATAGGTTTTTCTCTACCTTTTCACTTGGAAGGCTGCGTGTTCCCACCACTTAGGGTGACCAAAATCTCAACACATAAGGCTTTTTGTAGGCTCCTTTTGAACTTCCCAAAACACAAAAAGATACACCCTGCATCGTTCCAAAGAACTTTATTTGGCATATTTGAGTTTCTTTTTTTAACCCCCCATGGCGGTATTCCCGAGTGTAGCTCGGGGTAAAGTTTCAGCACCACAAGCGGTAACCCCCCCCCCCCCCGAGCTACACTCGGGAATACACTGCAGTGTTGCTCTTCTTCACTTACCTTGTCCTGCGCTCCTGCGATGTCCCTCCTGCAGTGTCCCCGGCAATGTCCTCCGGCCGATACCGGCATCTGTCTTCCGGGTTCCGGTCCCTGCGAGCGTCGGAACATATAGGACCGGCTGGAAATTTAAAAATGTGAAAAAGTGACATTCACTAAATACAGTAAAATCACACAGTATAACATTCCTGTATCAAACCATTTCACATACATTTTGTCCCGAGTGCTTTGTCCGGCGCCCTGCCTGCATTTTTACCGCCCATTCTGCCTGGAAACTGAGAAACGTCCATGGAGTCCAAAAAGCGTCCCTTTAGGTCAGACGCGGTTTTAGACCGTCTAGAGAACAGCGATAGTAAATCAGAACCACTTGCAGAATTGAGTGATAATGATTGGGTGGGGGAAATTCCTCATCAGCAGGGGCGGACTGACCATTTGGAAACTCAGGCACTGCCCGAGGGCCTGAGGTCAGTAGGGGACCCAAGGAGATGCCCCTGGTACCTTTTTCATAGGCTTTTTTTAGTTTGGGCAAGGACACAGGGGGCCCATGATCCCCTATTGCCCGGGGGGCCCCATGAGTTGTCAGTCCGCCCCTGGTCATCAGACACTGAAAACAATATTGGGACTTTGCTCAGCGATGGGCGAACTTGGCGCTATATTTCACATTTCAGTGTTTTTGGTTTGATTATATTATTGAATTAAATTTATTATTTTTTATGATTATTTATTATATTATAATTTATGATTTCGTGTTTCAAATTTTATCCTACCCGGGATGTTTACTAGACTCTTGTTCGGACAGATTTCAGTGAATTATTCCTAAAAATTACAGGCCGACAATAAAAAAAATACATATTTCCATGCAAATAAATGTACCGCTTTGAGCACGGTATTCGCGGCCAATCACTCGTGTGTGCTTATTCGGATCCTGCAGATGTGCGATTTACCATCCAGACTAATGGATCATGGGGAGGAGGGGCGTCTGCTGGGGTCAGTTTTGTGGCTTTAAAGACATTCTTTCTTGATGTCTCGGCTGATAGAAGGTGTCGTGTCAGTACCGGAGGGATGTTCTGCAAGGCCGTGCAACTCGCACACAAAAAAAATATTTATTCAGGTGCTTCTATAGTGCCGCCAATTTACGTATATATTGTACATTCACAGCAGTTCCCGCCCCCGAGGAGCGTACAATCGAAGGTCCCTAACTCACTCTTTTGTCATTTTTTACACTACATTTTTTTGTAGTAAATGAGTAGTGGTACCATGTACCCCATACTCATTCACATTGGGGGGGGGGGGGGCAGGATTTCGGGGCCCGCAT